AAGCAAAATATCAGGAATCAGTTGACACTCATCAGAGCAAACTAAATCACTTCCAGAGTTTGTTTTAATGTGCAAACTCATTTTTGAAGAAAACTTAGTTCCTGTCCAAAGGGAAAACAGCCCTGTAGCTGAGGATACAGCAGTGCTCATGAAACAAGCAGATCTCAGACAACAGTAGTAGAGGCTTCCTCAGCTATGTGCAGTAAGGTAACATGAAAGCATTCTTCCTAGGAAGTAGAGAGGGTTGGGATATACTATTCCCAGGAAGCTATTGTGGGTATATATTCCCAGTATACTACAGCGGTGTGGGTATAGTGATGTGCTGCAGCTAGTTGACCCCTCCATGAAAGAATGACTGGTTTGAGTTGGCAACTTGGTGGTGAAAAATGGTATTTGAAGCATAACTCAAGTGCCTTGTAACACAGCGGTGCTTCTGATTAAATCTTCCCCTTTAGCACTGTCCTGGTTCACACCAGAGCACAGCTCTGACTGTTCACTGTATTTGCTGCAGATGTCCTGCCACCCTGAGCTGAACCAGTACATCCAGGACACGCTGCACTGTGTAAAGCCGCTGCTTGAGAAGGTAAGATCATACCGGGGACCTGGGAAAAAGTACTGCAGGTGGTTTTGATAGAAAGTAAGAGAAAATAAATACTCTCTTCGTTACAAAATTTATTTTAAAAATTACCGTAAACAATATACTAGCTGATAAAGTTACTAACAAAAATAAAAATAACATCCGTAACCTTTCCTTGCAGTTAAGGCCCTGCCTTGCTGCTGATCATTGGCATCTAATACATGCACATGAGGATATCCATCTATGTATTTTCAGTTACATCCTCCTACATGTTTAAGATGCTGCTTTTAAGTTTAAGCACCTATCTGACAGAATACTTTGAATGTTTTGCTGTAAGCCAGCAAGCAAAGGTAGTTTTGAATTCTAGGTTTTGCAAAAGAAAGGCATGACCAGACAAAACATTCCAGGATGTAGGATGCTGGCAGATTTTGGATTCTCTGCTCTTTACAGACAACCTTAATGCACATTTAGAGATTAGAAATAAGTCAGTTTTACATTGTGGTAGTACAGAGCTGCTGTATTTGGCCAGTGGCCTAAGCCTATCTTAACTTCATCGTTGTCCGTTCCCGAGTGATGCAATGAGATGGCTGTGCATTTCCTCCTTTGTTCCAAAACTGTATCTAGAGAAATGTACGGTTAAGTGCACTTTGTCTCCCTAGGCCTTAGCGATAAGCTATCAGTATAACATCTAGCAAGAAATGGCTTTGCAAAAGCATTTTTTTCTGATCTGTAAGATTCATCTGACAGTGCTCAAGCTTTGTTTAACTGCTAGTGCTGTGAGCCACAACACATAAGCATACTCCCACTTTATCAGAACTATGTGAGGCACAGTGGGGGCAGAAGACAGCTTGTTCTAAGGGAGGGATTTTTCTATCTTTGTTCTTGCAGAATGACGTGGAGAAAGTTGTAGTTGTAATCCTGGATAAAGAGCACCACCCTGTGGAGAGATTTGTCTTCGAGATCACCCAGCCACCTCTTCTGTCCATTAGGTAAAGTTTCCATTATTGCTTACCCATGGCATCCAAGACCTGCCTCCGCAGAGGTGTTCTGGAAGCAGCTCCAGGCCCTAGCACTTTGCTGCATGCCGGTAACAACTGCTGTCTCCTCACCAGTTCAGAGTCCCTGCTGTCCCATGTGGAGCAGTTACTGCGTGCCTTCATCCTGAAGATCAGCGTGTGCGATGCTGTGCTCGACAACAATCCCCCAGGTAGACCTGTCTGTACAGCCTCATGGCATGGCACAAGAGGTAGTGTCCTTCTGCTGTTAGTTGTCCCCTGACCTGGAGCCTGCCATTTCTCCTGCAGGTTGCACCTTCACAGTTCTGGTTCACACACGGGAGGCTGCCACACGGAACATGGAAAAGATCCAGGTCATAAAGGTGAGGGACGTCTTTGGCTATCTGGTTGTGTGTGAGCCAGCTGCAAAGACTGGAAATGACAGAGTTCTGGCATCTCTAAGTTTAAGGCCACTAGACATTCTGAACATGTTCGTTAGCTTCACATAATGCACTTCATAACTTTGAATATATTAAAACACTTTACACTGGTGAGGTGCCTGAGCACGTTCACCAGCCACAACTGCAGACAATAGCTGCTTCAATGCCTGAACAGACTGTGACAATACTGACTGCATAATGCCTGCTCAGTCACTTCAAAGCACTCTGACACATAGAATAGGTACTTGAATTCAATCAACAACAACAAAAAAAAGCCCTGATCCCACATCCACTATGTGTGGATGGCTGATTCTTTATAAATAGCAAGGAGGACTACGATTCAAGTAACTAGTGGGGTTTGGGCACACAAATACATTTTCTCTTGCAGCAAAGTGTGTACAAATCACTTTTTAAACCAAGATTTTTTTTTTTTTAAGAATCTTTTCTTAGGTACAAGGAAACTTTTTTCCCCTAGACAACTTATTTTGGGTGTCCTAAGGGACAATAAATAAAGCTAGTGAAGTGTAAAATTGTTTCAAAATAGAAGTCTGCTCTGTACTGCTTAGTAATGGAAACTGGTAATATAGTAGGGCAACCTTTAAACTCGCAAGGCAGGACAGAAATCCACGCCCTGAGCATTTTGGAGTTGCAGTTAAATGCTGGTGTAATGAATAGAACATGCTATCTCAGGACAGCTAAGAGTGTATTTTTTAAAGAAGTGAGATGTCACCTCTGGGCTAAGTAAAGTAGGTTAACATTGTAGTTTGATGCTGTAACTGATTATGCCAAGTCTCAGGGCCAGGTGGGCAAGTGTTAAGTTTTGTTATTATCAAAGTTTTGAGTTACCTGTTTCTTCCCTCGGCCACTAAATCTCTCATTCACTTAATGTTGACCTAGTGCTGAGGAAGTGGTCACCTTACAGAGCCTGCCAGCCTCTCTGCAAATAAAACACCTTGTGTTCCTGCCCCTAGGATTTCCCGTGGATCCTCGCTGATGAACAAGACGTGCACATGCACGACCCTCGGCTTATTCCCCTGAAAACTATGACATCGGATATATTAAAGGTAAGCAGAGCACTCTGGGCCAAGAGGGGGCTGAAACTACATGTACTTCTAAGCTTTGTCTACTCTGATGCCAGCTCTGCAGTTTTAATACTGCTGAGCAGTAGCTTAGTCCTGCAGATACTTGTGCCAGTAATCAAACCAGGGCAAGACTCCTCATAATACAGTAGGAAATCTGGTTATGGGGGAAGGCACAAACTCTTCCTATTTACCCTGTTGTAGACTTTTTTTCCATTCACCTACCTGGCTATCAGACAGAACTGATGCTTGTTCCTCTCCTCCAGATGCAGCTATACGTAGAAGAGCGAGCCCACAAAGGCACCTGATTTCCAATCTTCCTTGCCTTCAAGCCTCATCTGATCTTCCAGTGGAATAAGAAATCTCACAAACCATACCTTGATAACTCTCTCCAGCTGGCCTTCTGGGTGAATGTAGAGCAGCTGCTGCCTCTTTATTTCAAGTGCTCTTACCACTGTATATAGAACTGACTTGGAATGTGGAGCCAGAGCCTGTTCCCATGTACGCTCGTGAGAGTGAGTACAGGTTTTGTTACGGTGAATCCCTGGGGGCAGGGTACAGGCAACTGCAGTGTGCAGTCAGTGCTTTGTGCAAACCCAGTTCTCACCTTCATAGGGCATCTCCATTGCACATCGGTAGTGACATACAGCCATCTGTTATCTGCTCCGCTAGAGCAACGGACTCGTACTAAGGGTGAGTGAGGCCTTATGTAGCATCTGTCCACTGTGACTGTCCCAAGTTCAATAAATATTAAGTTTTACTCCAGTTGAACTAGGCTGAGTTCTGTCCAAACCAGCCTTCTGCCTTTAAGTGAGGAAATATTTGTGTGTGAAGCTGTGTATTTTATGTGGAGCTCCACCACTTTTCCATACCTTTTCTGGAACATAGGGGGAATCTGTCAATTCCTATGAGAGGCTGTACAACCTTGGTCTCCCTGATTTCCTTGGGAGAGCTTTCACCCACAACTGACATTAGTAAGGTGGAATTTGTCCAGCAAGGACACTTGCTGAATGTCCTAACAGAACAGACAAGGGAAACACTGTCAATCCTACATCCATCAAGGGAGATGGATGGTGGCCTTAGCATTGGCTCTGTGCACACAGGGGTAGGAGACATGATTCATGGTGTTTGAGCTGAGCTTGGTGGTCCGACAGCTTGATAAGACAGCCAGTACCTCCTGCTTCCTCGAAGTAGAAAGTGCAAGAATACTATAGATCGAGGTTGTCCGCTGCTTTAACATTTTATACAGGGTTAGACTGTTCAGTACAAACCAAGTACTTTGGTAGTACAAAGTAAGGAAAAAGCCCAGCACAGTCAAAAGGCACTTATGTTGTAAGGTAGCCACCTTAAAAGTATTTCTTATCTCCTCTTTCTCTAGCTGTTTATTCAAACAATCCTGGGCTGTATTTGGACAGGGAAGGCATGTACCATTTCGATCACAGACACTTACAGAAAGGGGAAGGAATTAAGTACCAGTGACACAGCATTTACGAAAAAGAGTTGACAGTTTCCTTATGCTATGAAAGGTCTGATGTGAAAGATACATGTTTTTATACATAATTAAACAAGAAAATACTATACAAAACAAGTCTCTCTGTAGCAGAGCCCTTGAAGACATCACTGATAATCTGAAATGAAACACTTCAGCCTTATCTTTCGTAAGTTCATAAACAAAAAAGAAAGGGTTTGGCTGTAGCACAGGAACATATTAACTAGAAAAGACAGATGTCATATTGAATTGTCCTAGTCTTCCTCCTGGAGAAGGGCACTAGTAACTGCAGTAACATCCATGGTACAGGAGGATGAAAGATGAATAATAGTCTTTCCAAAGGGCTGGGCCTGCAGAAGTTCTGCTGTGAACGAGGAGACCTAGCTGCTTGTATTTGAGATCAACTGTGCAAGACAAAGCCAGGACACTCACCCAAAGTACAGACAAATAAGTGCACCTGAGACCACCTGGCTACAGTCCTGAGGTAAAAGCAAAGATTGATATTGTGCCTTCATAACGATGTCAGGGGCCCAATGGTGATGCTGCTGTTTGTCACTCGGATCCCATACCATCCTGCCCAGAACTGGGTGTCTTGGCCTCCATGCTGAAACCAGATGTAACGAACTCCAGGTGGGTAATTCTGGAAGGTGTGAGAAATCTGGAGAGAAAGAGGAAAATTCCTCTTTATTTGCCTGTATAAACCAGCACTGACCTAGAAGCTAGGACAACTACAGTGTGCAAGTCTTGGTCTCAGGAAAACCTCATTTTAAGATCTATTTCAATGGAAGTGCATCATACTCCTTTTTGAGAAATGGGGAAAAAAGTGTCTCTCATTCAGCCTTCTGCCCCGAAACGCTCTCCAAGAAAAATGTAACATGAAGCTCGATTCTTGGGTACGTCATGTAAGCAACAACCTAATGAGAAATCCGCAGCCAATCAAACCAGTTAAACACGTTTAGTGGTTTAAGTAATGTCTGCAATACTTTGAATGCCATGCCATGGTTTTAAAACAAAGCTTTCTGATCCAATAAAAGCAAGAACTGTGCTCTTGTAACTTAGTTACGTAGACAAAAACTTAATTGAAAAACAAGCAATTAAAGAGCCTGAGCTAAAATAACTCAGAGGCCCAAGGGATACTCTTTAGAAAACCCTGAGCACCTACAAACCAAACCTGGCTCCTTCATGGCACTACTGCTTCTTCAGCATTGTCAACAGCCAGGACGTACCTTGGAGGCTGAAGGGCAGAGGAAGTAGGTCCACTTGGGGCTTTTGGCCAGGTGAGATGAGTCAAATGTCACAACAGTGATGTAAAGCTGCTCCCACGGGGAGCTGCTTACCTCTCTCCACATGGCATCACTCCACTGCTCTATAACCACCGGCTCGGGGCAGAACTCCTCAAGGACAATGTAGTCTTCCGAGAGCAGCCTCACCGTAAGTTCATAGCGACACCCAGAGTCAAATCTGGCAGCATACCTAGAGGGGCAGGGTTGGATATACAGTGTCCAGTTTTTTTTAGTGTTCAGAAACAGTCTCCAAGGGGATCTTCGCAGGGGAAAGGGAATGTCATCCCCATAGCTATGAAGAAGTTCTAAAACTTCCAGCTATCCTGCTCTTCACAGGATTGCCACCTCCTTACAGCCCATTGAATAAACTTAGATTTAACTTATGTTTTACTCAAGAGCTACAACTCCCAAAGGATAAAGAACTAGTTTTATAGCACAAAAAGCTCCAGAGGCCTAGCTTATCTCTAGGCCAATGCCAGAAATTATAGTTTTCACAGAATACACTTACCAGTCCTTGACTACAATTTCAGGCCGTTTCTCATCCATCAGCTGATTCCAGTATCCTTCCTTCTGCAGGGTAATGAGTTGAGACTTCAAGCATGGCCTGCAACAGCAATAGAAATACTCACAGCTTCACAAAACACACCTCTTCCCTCTCAGTGTCCGCATCCTCCCTGACAGCTTTACTCTCGCCAAAAGCCCACCCAGACCTCGAAGGCCCACAGGGCTGACGTGGCTAAGGACTAGACAAGGAGGACTAGTTACCTACAAGCTGGATTAAGAGGACTCCCTGTGCTTGTACAGCACATATTGCTAACAGGAAAACTACTGCTTAATGGATGTCAGAGCAGCTAGTCCTCCTCTGCTGACATGTTCGCATGACAAATGCACCTCCCACTCCTGGGGGTTACAGAGGTAAGCGCATCCATTGGCTTGCCAAACCTTAACTTTTGCCCATCGCCTTTGGCAGGAGAGAAGCAGAGTTCCCATGTAGATTATCATGACTAGAAGAAAGTTACAGGAAATTCCTGGTAGGGACAAAGAAATTTAGCACATGCTGCGATTAATTCTCTCAGCAGTACACCTGGCTCTTTAACTGCTCCATCCTTTTCCCAGTGACCTGCCTCAAGCCTTCTGACCATAGTACCTTTGCAGACAGACAGGAGGAAACAGGTGTCCCAGCTCCAGATTACTGGAATCCAGTTCTTACCCATATGAAGTGACAAAGTATTTGTGTACTTTCGGGTCTGGTATCCCATTTCCATGAGGTCCAGGCAGATTCTCAACCTTCCATCTATCTCCATCATTTTTATCAAGTTTCCAGTACTGGAAGTTCTCTAAAAACACAGATATCAAAGATGAGTGTTAGGACCTCACTTCGGTTTCTAGCAGTATCTCTGCTGCTGTTAAACTATCAACTACAGAAGAATACCAGGAACCTACTTTGATTGAGTTTTCATATACACCGTGTTCTTCCTAAAGCTGGAAGTAACTCCTGTCTGTGTTTCCGTTACTTTTAACATGGCTCTCAGCAGCCAGGACAATAGCAACTTTCTGACCCCATCAGAAACTCATAATCAGGAACAAAGTAGAATTGCTGTAGTCATATTGAGTCAAGTCTTTGACAAAAAAAATTCCCCAGCTGCTCAAACACTTAACCCCAGTACCTGACAGTTTTATTACCATCTCGGACCTGCTCTGCAAATTAACACTCACTGTCTGCTGTGAGTGTTGCGATCAGAGATATGGATTTACCAACACTTTATCTGTCCACGGAAGTTTTACTGCGTATGTTTACTCGTGGATCTGACCCAGCAAAGATCCATCCGTAGCTGGACAGTCCCACCCCACCAGCGGTGCTTGAGTAATGCCGGACATTGACTCATTCTGACTGTTAGGAAACTCTTAGCTTTCTACTATAAATAATTAAACAAACCTTCAGCACAAGGGTTTTTGATTAAGTTTCTCTTCAAGTTGCAGAGCATATAGAAGATCTTCCAGTCGGAGACGCTTCTATCCAAATTCTGAAGGTAAAACCCCTCGCGCTGGCACTTGCGCTTCCACAGGGTGGTCAGATCCACCACGTACCGCCACTGCCTGCACACCAGCCGACAGGTCCCGGGCCGGCAGCAGCGAGAGCAGCTCCACCAGCACGTCCTCGGGGAGGTCGCTGATGGTTGTCATCGTCTGACAGCTCCAGCGCCGAGCCGCGCTGCGGGGGGGGGCGCGATGGAGAATCCCCGGTACCGACAGCGCAGAGCTTCGGGAAACGAGCAGAGTTGCAGCGGTTACTGACAGAGCTGCGGGAGGGGCCGAGCCCCCGCTGAGCCCCGGG